CAACGGCCTCCTAAAATGAAATAAAATAACAAGTAGTAGTTTATATTACTACCGTCCTTTTAAAAGGACGACATCTTTATTTACAGTTTGCACGTGAGAAATAAACTATTATGGCCGATAATGGTTCATATCATACTTCTAACATACCAAAAAGAATCAAATATACGTGAAATCAGAATATCTAAATCAAGTTAGATGAATAAACTCACCTCCAATCATCCATTGCCGCACTTGACCACAATACGTAATTTAGAAATACTATAATCACTTTATAATTCTTCACAGAACTCGAATTCTACCAACAACTGGTCAGTATGAGGTTATAGTAGGTAACTCTGTATCGCCATCTATTCTAAAACTCATGAACGAAACTGTAGCGAGCTGTAAGCTGTAATACCTTTTAAAAGGACGGTAGTAATATATGGGTTTGTACTACAGCTTTGGTGTTCATTTAGTAGGGTTCCTTAGTCTAGGTACGATGCCTATTGATAAATTCGATAGACATATGTTGCAACACCAAAGAGTTGATCAATCTCAGCTCAGCTACTCTGTGCACCAACACCCTATTAATTCATCTCTATTATACAGTGAGTGTGTCATCACAATCAAAGGAAGAATAACCGAAGAGACGAAAAAGCACCCATTGCCCTACGTATATGAATTACATAATAATTCAAACGAATATATCTTCCCCTTGAAAGAAGGTATAATAATTGGTGTCGATTACTATCCGGGACTATTATCAGTCGTACTGGATAGTTCAAGCACAATAGACATGACGGATCTGATTGGTCAAAGACTTTCCAAAGAAACGATTTTGAAATTTTTCAACAAATCCAAATCATCTGAAGGTAGTATGTACGTTCAATTACTTATTCATTCTCCAATCGTCAAGTATGTCTGATATTGAAAAGAAGTGGTAAATGAACTCCATAAGCCAGCAAGAAGACGGTTCCGAAGAAGGAGGGTTATAATCAAAGGGTTGAATGATTTATGGGAAGCTTATCTGGTTGAAATGATTCCCTATGCAAAATTTAAAAAAGGATTATAATACATTCTGGTTGTTATAAATACTTTTTCGAAATTTGTGTGGTGTGAGCCAGTAGAAAGTAAATCAGCCAAGGATATTACACTTGCGATGAAAAAAATTCTGACACACGCAAAATCCCCTCCACAAAATCTGCATACTGACAGAGGGCGAGAATTCTGCTTTCAGTTCAAAGTTTTTATCTACAACTATGGAGTCATTCATACATTGCTTACTCGATTTTCGACATTCAATGGCAGTCATTATTGTGATGAATCGAGTAATAAGAGTAATAATGACAGTAGGGTGGCGTAATAATTTGACATCCCATCGTCTTGTCAAATTCAACTAGGTAGGTATTCGTTCTATTATTTCGCAAATCCACCGTACCATTGTTCTCGTAGTTTTAAACATCTTAATTCTACAAATACACGGAAAAATAAGAATTCACTGTTTTCCATCCTCAACAGTGACTATCATCATGAGTAACCATCATGAGTAACCATAACCATAAAATAGGACTTGACACTTGCAGATTTGCTCACACTTTAGATCCTGTATGATCTAAGGCACACACTAACACTAATATGGCTACAGGCTATTGGAATAGATTAGTACAGACCAATCAGAACCATGGAATTTCATTGTTGATAACTAGCTTCTAGAGACAGGGTACTACAATCAATCATCGCGGTGGGGGAACGCTACAGCGGAAGCAAAAAATGAATAATCTGCAATAGTATATGATTCATTTTACAACTTAAAAGTGAAATATCATATAATACCTGGTAAGATTGACTGATATGTGATTGCACGACTTTTTTCCTGCTAATAAAAGTTATATCCAACATTGTTTGTCAAATTTTCACAATCAAAATTATTGAAATAAGTTATAAGCTGTTCGTTGAATGGAATCTTTGTCAATAATATTTCGATGGATCTAATGAGTATTTAAAATTAGTGATTTTGCAATATAATAACCTTCATTTCTTTCAAAGATATATTTCTGAACTCTCAGAGTTGCTTTGATATTTGAATAGTTGTAGATAAAGTATAGTATTCTACTTGCGCATAATGACTATTACCCACTCAGATGATTACAGCACTCGCCTTCGGCTCGTACTGCAACTTTCATCTTCGTGGGTAATAGCCATAATTATGCGCTCGTTGAATAATATACTATTATTGGGAATTCCTCCCCTTGGATTGTTTTCATATTACTTTGGATTTTCTGCCATGCGGTGGGGTTTATCAATGGGTTGTGGGCAATTCTGTATTTCTTTGGGTATCGAGTAATTTAGTTTCAAAGAATGAATCGCAAATGAATCAAATTCACAAGGAAATAAGAAATAACTCAAACATAACCTCTTCAAATTTTATTTGTCACAGAACAGTCAAATGTCGGGGTTTCTGTGGTCATCTATCGTCACGATCACAAACGATTTTGTCCGAGGTGGAAATGAAGGAACAATAATGGTTGCCTGTGAACGTCACATAGGATATGTTCCGTAAATCAACAGGAGTTACCGATGCATTCAGGACAGGTACCAACGATTTTGACAGCGGTTATCTACTGGTGACTATATTTGTGAGTTCATTTACGGAATGCCAGTCATTTGTCATTGTCAAATTGAAATTATAGTTTTGTTTTGTTTCTATCGTCAGCTGTGTCATGTGTGTTTTGTATTTACTCTTTCACTTTGCTTTATTGTTGAATTTCATCTGCTATTAATTTCATTTTTTACACCCATTCATCATCCATTACACTCATTATTCATTTATTATGGATAATAATGATGCAGGATGCAGCTTTGTTTTTATTCAATGAAGTTCTGAATTCTGATTATAGTACAAGTAGTGAAGATGAAGTTCAGGCAAGGGGACCGATGGGTAAGTAATTATTGTTTTTTATGTTTTGGACTGAATCAATGATCAGATGGTTTGATTCGAGACATTTAGTAATACCCTAATATTATTTTCAACAGTTCCCCGCCCCAGGGTACAGGGATATACATTGACGAGGTAGTGTTGACCACTATTCTGATGAAGAATTTAGGGAAAACTTCAGGATGAATAGGCATACCTTCAATCATGTACTACTATTGGTTAACGAACAAATTTCATCAGATATCACTGATAGAGGAAGGCATACCATATCAGCAAAACCCCAATTATTAATTGCTCTTTGGCATTTTGGAACCCCAGATTCCTATAGGTATGAATTTATATTTTCATTAACTTCTTATGGATAACATGAGTATCAAATGGGTGATATATTTCTCATTCCATTATTCAAGATCCATATTTGGCCGATTCAATATTGGTAGGGCAACAGCATTGAGAACTGTTAAAAGGGTAGCTGAGGCACTATTTTCTTTGAGTAAACATATTTGTTAATGGGCCACTGGTGAATACCTAAAAGGAGAAGTGAATGGCTTCTCAGAAATGGGATTTCCAGATACCATTAACTGTATTGATGGAATGCATGTGAGAATCCCCAAACTCAAGGACCATGGATTTTCATATATAAACAGAAAAGAATTTCCAAGTATTATCTTGCAGGTATGTTCCTCAAAATCATTTGATGTTTATCAATGTGCTAAACAGTTTGTTTTGATGACATGGGTATGAATGGATATGTTTTCTTCCAAAAGGATAATGAAAAAATATTATGAGAAAAGCAGCTTTTATGCATTTTCAGAATATCTAACTCCTGTCTTTCAGAGTATTTCTTGATTTTCTAGTCACAAAAGTAGAACATTGATTGTTTCAGGGTGAATGTGATCACCAAATGAAATTTACTCACTGCTATTCTGGAGAAGTAGGATCAAACCATGATGCTACAGTCCTGAGACGTAGTGAAATCTGAACATACATGAATGCTGAAAAATTCCCCAACAATACTCATCTGATAGGAGACAAAGCATATCCATGTCTGCCAGAATTGATAACACCATACAAGAACAATGGCCATCTAACTGATGCCCAGGAGAATTTCAATTTTTTGTTATCACGGACAAGAGCAACAATAGAACGCTCCTTCTACCTTCTACAAAAAAGATTCAGGTGTCTAAAAGAACTACTGAACCTGTAATCTTTAGAATGGGCTCCACATCATGTCATTGCATGCTGTGTATCACACAATATATGTATTTCACAAAATGATATAATGAATTTTGAATTCATTCCTGCTGAAGATGAAGATTATGATCCACATATTCTTGGAGTTCTTGGGGACCGACAAAGGAATCGTTTGGGTGTTCAAAAAAGGGATGTGCTTTGCCAACAATTAGTTGTTCCCAATTGATCCAAATAAAAATTCTTGCAAAAAATTGTTTTGATTCAACCTGACCTCTTCACCTTTCAATCAATTTCTTTATGAAATTAATGCATTGATTATTAATTTTATGCAGGCAATCCACACTCCATACCAATTGACTGGATATATTCCTTGGTAATGACAATACAAAACAATGTGAAAAATATATTTTTTGAATATCAATCATTTCTCACACTTTGAAATCAAAGGAAACTTCTTGAAAACATGTAAAATAAAATAAATAGGTACATTCTTGAAAATAAACAGACTGATATGACCAGACTCAAATGACAATCCACTCAAGTAAGAATTATCACAATCAGCAATTACTGACTAAAAGAAAGGTTAATAAATACATATTGTGAAATCAAAACAACTAAACATTAAATTCTCAAAACTGAACTCAAAATACTTGATCCTAAATTTGTGATATTGTCACAGATTCATGAAATCATTAACAAAGAATCATCACAATTAGGAATTGACTAGTAAACAAAAAAAAAAGACATTCGTGAAAATAACACAACCAAACAATGAATTCCCAAAAAAATCACATATTCAGTCAGCATGATACATCATTGTTAATCTTTATTTTTTCTTATTTTCTTTGAACCACTGAAATATTTATTCTTTCAGTTTAATTTTCTCTTCATGTCACCTTTGTCTTCTCATTTCTATCTCTGCAGCAGAAAATGAGGGTTTGAGTCTCTTTTTCTCTCCAGGTGATAAATTTTTCTTGTTGCTACTGTCATCTCCTTTTTCTGTAGTGAAATTGGAAGTGTCTGTTAGTTTCCTCTTGATAGACTCACCGGTACTGGAGGCAGTAGCAATTGGGACAAAATGAGGATCTTTCCAGTATATTTCCTGGAAGGCTTCATAAAACTTCCATGATACTTTAGAGTTTCCGGTTTTATCAATTTCAGTCCTTACTTTATCATAAGTTTTTCTTAGATTTCTCCATTTTTCATCGCATTTCACCCCGGATTTTTTGTAACCAAACTTATTCAATTCCTGGCTTATGACTTCCCAGTCTTTTTTTTTGTATAGCTGAGTGAATCGAATTTGTTTTTATTTCCTTTGTATATGGCAATGAGAAGTTTGATGGTGTTATCTGTCCACATCTCTGATGATGCTTGCGTCTTTGAACTGGATGCTGATGAAGATGATGCCACATTCAGTTGGCTTGAGGATGATATTGGGGTATCATCAGAATCCTTGATTGAAGTAATAAAATCATTCCACTGGCTTGAGGATGATATGCAAGTCCTGAATCTGAATATTTAGAATTTTTGTTATCAGCACTATAAATGCGTTTTGATTTATAGTCTACATTAACATTTTCATAGTTTTTTAAACATTCATGCTCTGCCAGAATTTGATTTTTAATTATGGTACCCAAAGTCCCTAATCCTTGTGCACAATAAGCACAAGCAAATGAATCTATTGTCCTGAAATAGAAAAAAACGTCATCAAACGGGAAAATATATCGAATATCAATAATTTACCTCAGTAAACGAATCCATCATAATCAAAAACGGGAATGTTGTTTTTTGTTGTGAACTTGTGAATCGGAGTATCAAACCCAAAACTAAAACACGTCAACGTCAACTCAAACTTACCGAACTTACCAGATAAAATCGACGGTCGTTCTAGTGACAGTGAATCTACCGCTTTTCAGCAACCGCGTACCTTAAATCACCTTTTTTTCAGGAACCAACCAAACATTTCAAATTTACGGAACGGAAAACTCCTAACCAAAATTAATAACCAAGTTGATTCACGGAACATATCCGTAATGAGAGCAGGCAGCACTATAGAGAGATATTGCAACTCACGATTACGCATGCTGTGTGTTATTTACTCGCAAAATTTTACGTTTACAGTTTAACGTCCATTTGAAATATACACCTATTGCCAGCCTTCCTGGAGGCTAGTTTCGTTTCCGTAATTATGACGAAGGTATGACATCTCTGGTATGACGTTAAACTCGTTATAGGTTAGATTAAGGGTATGTTCCGAATGTCACCTACTCATAACCGGTACTACCAATGAATACGGACAGCGGTTGTCTGAAAAAACCGAATTTACCGGTTACATTCGGAACACAATGTGTTTGGTGTTCATGACATTATGACTTGTGTGTATGGAGTATGTGGTGGACATGGTGATTCGATTTGGAATCTAAATTCGGTATATTTACAATGGCAATGGATCGAGAAGTGGCTTTATTTTTTTTTCAAGAATTCCTCTTAACGTCTGATGAGTCTTTAGATGAAGACGAAGACGCTGTTTTTCATTGGGGACCTCTGGTTTTGAGGCCCAAAATATCTAATTTTGTTTCTCAAGTTGTGGATTCCTATTGTGAAGCAGAGTTTCGAGAACACTTTAGGATGTACAAGTCTACATTCGTTTACTTGTTATCTATATTGGAAAATGAAATCAGAGATGTTGATAGCATGGGAAGAAATCCAGTATCACCGAAAGAACAATTATTAGTCGCCCTCTGGTATTATGCAACACCAGATTCTTACAGGTTTTTGATTAAAAAAGTTGATATAATACATATATTTTTATTGTTCTGTTCTCAGGTCTATATACATCCTTTATTTAGTCCATTTGGCTAATTTACATTTTCACCTCATCGCAATAATTACAATGAGAATGTTATATGTGTAAACATATTTACATAAATACAATACATAAACTATACTATACTCACTCACTATACATCTTTACGTAATTACACATTCTAATACATATTTAATGAATACACAAAAAACACTACACATTCTAAAACATTTGTAAACCTATCATACTTTATACTAAATCGAAACAAACAAAATGAGGAAGTGGCCGCTAGGTATTTCATTGATGAAGAAAATATGATTTCAACTGTGCCTTGAAGGATGTTAATGATGTTAAACGTTTGATCTCTTCTGGAAGATTATTATAGCTATCAAGTCCCTTGAAAAAAACTGAATTTTGGGTATGTGTTAATGTTACTTGGTGAATATGGAAGTCAGTTCTGAATCTTGTATTGTATCCGTGGATTTGGTTATTGTACCTAACTTTTTCTTGCAGATATGTTGGGGAAATTTTATTTCTTATTTTGAAAATTAGGATTAATGTTTGGTAGAGGAGAAAGGAATTAATTGGTAACCATTCAAGTTCCTTCAACATGTCTCTTATCGGTGTACGTCTTTTGCAATTTAAAATTATGCGCATGGCTCTATTTTGTAGTTTCTGTAAACGAGCTAATTCATTTTGTTTCAGTAGAAATAGAATTGTAGAACAGTACGTGAAATGAGGGAGCACCAATGAATTGTACAGTAAAAGTTTTGTCCACCTTGTCAAATATGGGGTACAACGAGATGAATAATGTAATTTAAATGCTATCGTCTTTATAATGAAGTTGGCATGTTCTTTGAAATGTAATCCCCTATCCACATGAACCCCAAGATATTTGAATTGGTTAACTAGTTCCACCTTATCAGGACCTAATATTACCTCAAAATTTTTGTTGCAAAAGTTTCTGTATCTTTTTTCTGTACTTATTACCATGTACTTGGTCTTCTCAACATTAATCTTCAAATAATTAGCGCAACACTAACTGTAAATTGATTTTAAAGTCCTGTTGATGGTTTCCATGAGCTTTATGTGATCATATGAGAAATAAATCAGTGTATCATCTGCAAATAAATGAAAGGAGCTCTCACTTACTACCTCTGGCAAATCATTGATATGTAACAAAAATAATAGGGGGCCCAGTACACTTCCCTGTGGTACTCCTTGATTGCATTCTATTTCATTTGATACCTTATTATTTATCTTGAGCTTTTGTTTATTGTTATCTAAAAAACTTCTCAACCATTTTAATACCATTCCATCTATTCCTACTGCTGCTGATTTTTTTAACAATCTATTTCTGTGTATTGTCTCGAAAGCCCTCTGGAGATCCAAAAATACTGCAACAGTAGTCTAGTACACATTGAACTGCTGTTTCACAACTATGTTTATTTTTAAACCCTGATTGATACTTAACAGTTTATTATTTTCAATATACTCTACTAATTGGTTATAGACTACTTTTTCGATTATTTTTTCAATTGCGCTCAACATGTTCACTGGTCTTAGATCTGAGGCTTTATTAGGGTTTGTTTTTTTCGGAACAGGAATTATTGTAGAAATCTTCAGGTCATCTGGTACCTCCCCTGTTAGTAATGAAGTATTAATGAGGTTCAGTAATGGTTCTGCAAGGTTAGTGAAACAATTTTTAAAAATAGCAACATTCAATTCATCTGGACTCCCCTTATTTTTCAACGAAAAAACAATATCTTCCAATTCTCTAAAATCTAATAGTGAGAAGTTTTCTATTGCATCATAAGTGACCCCCAGATTAGAATTAGATGTAATTGGGAAGTCAATTTCTGCTAAATCAATATATACTTTTGATACTTTCTACAAAGAAGTTATTCAACCTGTTGGACATGTCATTTTCATTACTAATAATTTCATTATCACTTATTTCTATTTCACTTATTATCTGGTTTTCATTTTTATTTGGACAAAAATTTTTCATTACTTTCCACAGTTCAACCGAGTTAGTTTTATTTTCTTCAACTTTTCTTTCATAATATTCTCGGTTTTTTATCCTCATAGTTTTTACGGCTATGTTTCTCTGCTGTTTGTAAGTGTCTTTGAGTTCCTCCGTTCCATTCTGTTTCCACTCTTTATAACAATCATCCCTTTTTTCTGTTGCTTTCCTCACTTCTTCATCATACCATTCTCTATAATGTGGATAAATTTTTATTGTTTTTTTAGGTGCTATTTCATTATAAACCTCATATACTTTATTGTAGAAGTCTCTATATTTTCCATTCATGCCAATTATTGTGTAGTTCCATTTTATTTTTGATAGTTGTTCATTCATTTTAGTGAAATCTATATTGCGGCCTCTACTTTCTACTTTTAGAGATTTTTTTCCATTAAAACCTTGATCACAATACAAAATTATATTATTGTGGCTAGATATTTTTGGGGTATCCATAACTACTATATGTCGCTGTTTCAATTTGGGCAAAGCAACTGGTCTCAGATCAGTGAGAAGGGTAACTGATGCGATCCTAGATATCTCAGAAAGTTTCATCCTTTGGCCAAGTTGAAACAATGTACACACAATACAAGAATCTTTCAGAAGAATTGGTTTTCCAAGTACCATTGGTGCAATAGATGGGTCATATATTCCAATTCCCCAACGAAAGGAAAATGGAATCTCATACATTTGCAGAAAAAACTTTGCTGCATTGATTGTTCAGGTAAGTATTTGAGTCAATGTATCGTTTTTGCAATAAAATTATTACATTTACAGGCGGTCTGTGATCATAAAATGTTATTTACCCATTGCTACAATGGGGAAGTCGGATCAACCCATGATTCTACTGCATCGAAGCGGAGTGAAGTATTTGATTATCTAACTAATTCAAGAATTGACAAATTCCCAAATGATACCCATTTGATTGGTGATAAGGCATATGCCTGCCTTCAGATCCTTTAAAGATAATGGCCATCTCACAGATGCATTCAATTATGATTTGTCAAAAGCCAGATCAGTAATAGAAAGAGCATTTGCATTATTGAAACACCGATTCCGTAGACTGAAATATTTTGATATCAAGGATATGGAATGGGCTTGTGAACACATAATGGCATGTTGTGTATTGCATAATATTTGCATCCTCCAAAATGATATAATCAATTTTGAAGTTATAGGCTTGGAAGAACAAGAAGATAATATTCCAGTAATTGAAGAAGTATATAGGGCACTTCATAGGATGGGAATGAGAAAAAGGGATTATATTATGAATACAATGAACAATGATTGACTAATAAATATGTATCTCATACAAAGTTTAGTTTTTATTATTGTAACAAGAAGATTTGCCTTTTCGTGTTCCATATTGTGAATTCTGCAAATAGGTAATGGGGAAGCTTTGTAGAGACGCACTGCGTAACTCAATGATTTCTTTTCTAGGTTTCGAGATACTTTA